AACTATTCTTTTGACAACATTTTATGAATCTGCTGCTGATTTGGAAACAACACTCTGTTTGGTATATTTATACTCGGCTTGAAATATGTTTTTACACATTCTCAGACATCTTTTTATTAAACAAAGCAAAAAAATATCTAACCATCTTCACTGAGAGATATCAAATAAAAGTGGAGTCAATATATTTCAGAGCAGACTGTTTGCATTGAAAGGACACCACTTACAGAGAGTTGAATATTTGCGTCTGCAGATGAGTGGGGATACAAAGGGTTCAGGATGGGGGTGCATGGCACCCCTGTCTGTTGACACTACACGTGTGTAGTATTTAATTAGCTGTAATCCAATTGAGGGCTACAGCTTCCTGTTAGGAGAGGTGCAAAGGGTTGAAATAAACAGCTTACGAGACTATTAAACACTAAAGATGCAGTCTACAGCCTATAGGAGGCCACACCTCTGACCTTATAGGCACATTAAGCATTAGTCCTCTCCTCAGGTGTGACCTGACCTCTGGAAGCTGCTTCACATCTCGGCTGCTTTAGCCTTGTTAGATGTATGGAAGGGGTTTTCCTCGTTATTTAAGCTGAGAAAATGAATAGAGACCCAGAAAGTATTGATCAGAAAGTACATGGAAGAATATAGTAAAGACATTTTTGGTTGTCTTAACTTGCTTCTAATGTTGTTTTGAAGGGAGATCAAAAAGTGTGGCGGCATGTGTTTCTCACTAGAACCACACACACACACACACACACACACACACACACACACACACACACACACACACACACACACACACACACACACACACACACACACACACACACACACACACACACACACACACACACACACACACACACACACACACACACACACACACACATTAGGTGATTAAAACAATGATCTTTCTCTTTGAAAAAACAGCCATGAGCCAAAGGTGTCAGCTTGTAAAGACTCTCTCCAAAGCTCGTTCAATCAGGCTGAAATCATCATCCAAGCCTGCTATCTAACAAATAAATGATATTCAGTATATACACATTTTAGAACAATTGGTCTGAGCAGAACAACAGTTGGTTGATGCAGAAGGCATGGGCTTTTTTGAGGAATAAATAAAGCTGAGTGGTCAAAAAAAGAAGACTGATTGGAACATGGCTGAAAACCATGGCAACAGACTCCTTAGTAAACAGTTTATGGAAGCCCAGTAGGAAAGCCGGCGGTTGGGTAAAGACAGCCTTGCGCTAATCAGTGCATACCAACACCTCCAGCGCCCAAACCTCCATGAATTTCTCAGAAACAGATGTGTCAACAGCCCTACTCTGTTGTGCTGCCGAGTCTAAGCCAATCAGAAGTGTTTTTTTATTAAGGGAGATGCTTCCAGAATTTATTGTGTGAGTGGATGCATGGCGGCTTAGTGATGTGCAGTATGTTTTGTAGTTTAAGGATATGCCTGCATCACAAGACACCCTGCTTTAGTTGCAAAAAGGGACAACTCTTGTCATTTTGCAGAGTGAATCAGATATCCTTACAAGTAATTTAAAAAATGTTGTTGTCCATGTGTAAGTGCAACCAGGTGTCAAAATAACAAATAGTTGAATTTCTTTTTTTTTTTTAAATAACAGTAAATATTTCATCCAATCTTGTAAAAAAAATCCACATCAAGGAGGTTGCTTTTTTTTTCAGAGGACCAGCAAACAGAAAGGGAAAAAGACTTCAACTTTAAAGAGGTTCAAAGAAAATTGAAACAAGAAAAATCTTGACCTCTCTGCCTATAGCAGGGAGGCATGTCATTAAATATAATGCTGAGATTCCCTACGCTGTGATCAATAAGCCAGCAGCACAGAGTAAGATGCAATCTTACACAGGGTGCACACTACAAACACGACTCATCTAATCATCTTCAAAGTTTCAGGGGCATGCACAAACCCTTAGACCAGCTCTGAATCAAAGACCATCACTCTCCAGCACATGTGTACACACATGAACGTGCATACAAACGTGCACTCGCATGCACGGAAGTCATTTCTTGAGCAGCTCTCTCTCTCTCTCTCTACTCTCTGTCACAGCTTCCATCTCTCCAGTTGTAACCATAAGTTATAATTCACCACTATCATGTTTCAAAATAATCATCCGAAGGGGAAAAAAAGCAGAAGTTGGCAGTAAAGTGACACATCTGAGGTCAAGGAGGATCATCTTTCAGTGCCTGCTCTGCACTGTCAGAGGTTGCCAAGCTGCGGTGCTGGATGCTGGATGGCGAGGTGGCCGTGGCGGATGGGTAAAAAGGAAGGAGGGAGGCTTGTGTGTGTGTGTGTGGGTGTGTGTATGTGTGTGTGTGTGTGTGTGTGTGTGTGTGTGTGTGTGTGTGTGTGCTGCCAGTGCAGATGCCCACAGACAGACCGCCTTGCCTGAGAGACACGAGAGCTGCCGGAGCCTCAGACAGCTCTCTCCATCACCCCCTCCAACTCCCCCTCCCCTCCCGTTGCCATCTGTGAAGCACACACGCACACACACATACACACTCACACAGATATAAAGAAAGACGGCACCCACTAACTAAGAGGCCCAGGGACACTTAGCCACGTTAGCAGCCTTCACTGAGACCGCTGTGCCGGGTAACTGCTGACATGCTTTAAAAAGACTAAGAGAGAGAGAGTGAGAGTTGGTGAAGAGTGAGGGAGGGAGGCAGAGCTGCTGAGCCAGATGGTTGGGCTAAGCTAAGCTAAGCGCTAAGAAAGATTGAGATACCAGCCAGGTGAATCTTCCTTTCCATTTTTTTGACAGCTGGACGGAGAAGAGCCGTCTGGGGTTGACAGTGATGCCATGTTTTCAATAAGCGGTGCTGTTTTAGTGTGTGTGTTTGTGTGTGTGTGCTGTACCGCATGGCATGTGCAGCTGATGGTGCGACTGTTTTTGTGTGTGAATATGTATGTGTGTCTGTTATCCTGATCCTGCATGTCCATATGCGCTGTATGTACAGTACGGTCACATTTTGTTTATTTTTTTCAATGTGTGTGTGTGTGTGTGTGTGTGTGTGTGTGTGCGCGTGCGTGTGTGTGTTTCTTTGTGGTTTTAGCCTTACACCCTCATCAATTACAGTGGATGTTGTTGACAAGTGTAATGACAGAGTTAGGGCCTCTAATAGGCCGGATGCTGCCAAGAAGAGGAGCATAAGCTGCTGTTTTCAGCACTCTTCACATCTCCTCTCCGTGTGCTATTCTTACTCTTCCTTCATGTCTCCTCTGCTCTCTGCCTCTGGTTTTTCCTCTCTGGTTACCTCTCTTCTGTTAAAAAGGCCAAGAAGAGTAAATGCAAGAAAGAAACAGTTCTGGTGTGCTTAACAGAACAGTTCTATAATGATGGTGATAGTAAGCACAAGTTTAATAATTACAAACTCAGATCTACCCCAGAGAGGTTTGGTTGTGGCATCTGACTTTCCATCTTGTATGTGTCTGTAAGAAACAATTCCATATTTTTCTCTTTTTAAAACTCATGTCTAATGGGAACAGGTCTGAATTTAATGCTTGGAAGGCTTCTTCAAACTTTTTCTAAATCTTATTTTTCCCAACCCATGAGAGGTTTTATTTTTTTTTTTGTTCTACCCTCAAGGCTGAAGGCAATCTTCCATAGTGACGTGGTTTCTCTTTGATGGTTGTGAAGGTTAAAATGGAATTTCTTTTGCTTAAAAAAAAAAAAATATGGAATGCTCTACACTTTGATATATAATTCAATCAAAGGAATGCTTCATGGCAGGCTTTACGAAGAAAAACATCAACAAAACATCAACATCGGTAATCTAAAAGTTAGCTTTTATCACAGAGAAAATACGTTTTGGACGTCCAAGCTGAAGGTACTGTGAGACCAGGTTCTATCCCTGCACTGGTTTCAAGCTAGAGGAGCTCACACACTCTACAGTGCCACGTAGTTGAGAATTCTGAGGCATTTTCAATAAATTATCACCTTAAGAGAGCTTGAAAACGTATTAAAGACCTGTCTTATCATCTTACCATGGCTAGCCACTGCATCGATCCTGCGATGCCAAGTCAAATCTGCCGTTAATAATTAATGGTTCGTCTGGGAGAGGCACATGCATTTTGTGATCACTCCGCTGAACAGAGACAGTGCAGATTTGTTCATGGAGGATAAAAGTGCTCTTGCACAGATGAGCATTGTAGACACACAAACCCTTCAAACTGACACACACGCACATTTACATGCACACAGCGGCACTGGCTCTAATCTGTGATGCACCCAATATGTGTATGAGTTATTGGCTTGCTCTGTATGAGGCAAAGCTATATTGCACAGACAAACCTGCACGCTACTTTACATGCACCAATTCAATCAGTATCTTGCCTGGCTCCTGTACCAGTGGGCCAACCAGATGCCCGAGATTCAGCCACCCTACGCACCAACACCATACAGATAAGGAGAGTAAAAGTATCCAAAAATACCCATACATTAATCCAACTGTGATTTTTGGTCATAATCCATGTTGCCTGTCTGGTGTGTGGAGATGATCCCTTATATTAAAAGGGGGGCAGTATCTAATCAGGATCATGGCTGCCCACACACAAAACAGAGGCGTGTTAAACACTGTAAAAAGATCTCAGGTCACTGTGCAAGATAAAAGAACAATTCAAGTGAGAAATTAAGATAGAGAGAGCTGCAGACAGAAAGCGAGGGAGGGAAACGTGACAGAGAGCTACAGAATGGCAGGCACTCATTGAATTATTCTCACACACAGAGATTTGGCCCAGATCAGCCAGAGAGATAAAGGAAGAGGATTACACTCTGGCTGAAAGACTTGGAAGTATTCTGAATATCCTCTGACTCTCTGCCACTCCTACAAAGTCACCTCTGACGATGGAACAATCTGTTTGCACAGTGATACATCAAAAACACACAAGTGCATTTCGGGGAAGGTCAGGCCATTCAAAGATAAAGAAGCAGAAGAGCAGAGCCTGTGGGGCTGAAAACGCATGATATGAAGTCTGAACAGGACTTACCACTGCTAAAGAAGGCTGGTTTACATCTGTCCAGAACTGTTCATGTCATCAAGCTCCAACCAGACCAGGGAGGCCACAGGAAGACTATCAGTATCTGTCGTGGTTAAAGACACACACAAAAAAAACACATTTCAATAAAAGATTTCAACGGTTGGGTGGGTTTTGTTGCATTGCTGGATATCATTTGTGGGTTAGGATAAATTATATTTGCCAAATTGAGAATTTAAGATAGAACAACTTGAATATAACAAGTTTCGCAGGGCAGAGTGATAAGAAAGATGCTAACAAACTGTTAAACAAACAAAGAAAAAATGGAGGGAAATCCTAAAATGGGCACCGACTAAATGCTGCACACAAATGTTGCAATTAACCCTCAAAGCAAAGGGAAATGTATGAGCTGGTTCAGTAAATTCAAATGCACTGGGAGGCCTGTCTTAAAAGAGATTATGGACAGTTTAAACTTTTGTGTCCTGTATTTGGCACCAACAACAACAGAGAAATCAGTCAGGTTTTAATAAACTTTCATTCCCTTAAGTCAAATGTGTCCGGATACTGTGAGTGTCTGGAAATGAATCCTGATGAGGAAAGTTTGAGGCCTTCTGACATTGTGGTGATTGTCTTTTTTGTTGTGGATATGTTTGATCAGTAACACACATTTGTTTGCTGAACAGAAAACATAACATAAAATCTATTTGGTTTTTTAAAACTTTATTATCATATTTGATTGACTTACCTCTCCTCTATTGCACCTGACCATGCTGTTTTACAACCAGGAAGTAACAAACCTGTGCCACCATGTTTGAACTCCTTTTAAGGAAGGGCTTATTGGGGAATGTACCAAACGTACAGAATGGGGGTGGGGGGGGGGGGGGTTGTGTTAAAGTTCTTGTTTTTTAAGTAGATGTTGGTCTGATTTTACTTCTTAAAATATGCAGTTTATTATACATATCATAAATGAGAAACAGAAAAATCATTGATAATTTTTTTTTTACATGAAAGAAGAATGATGGTCATAATTTAAAGGGCATTTTCTTGACAAAAAACAAAAAAAAGGATAACGGGGAAGTGAAGGGAATTCTTGCAAAACGTCACCTCCTAACAAAGTGGAAGGACAAGTGATTCAACGATTATCTTATCGAGAAATTCAGAGAACGACTGGATTCTTGGCTTATTGATTATGGTTTGTTCTAGAAGACAGCATGAGATTTTACAACGTAAACATGCCTATGTCTATCGATACAGTCATTACCTGAGTTTAGCAAACTAGCATGCTAACATTTGCCAAGCATCATGTCCCCAAAAGTAGGGTTGGGTCTACATTTGGATGTTTTGCAAAAGAAAAACAAAAGACAAATTAAGATCTTGGACCAGATAATGACTCTAAATAAAAAGTCAAAGATGCACTCAACATTCATATATTTACCAAACTTCTATACTTTGTGACCCACTGTGTCTAAATTCTTCTGTAAAATGAGGATATGTGAGAAAACGTATCTGTTGGCAAATCAGAATTTCAAAGGGAATAATATATAATGCCCTGATAAGGAGAGGAAAGGTGTCCATCTTTTCAGATCTTGAGGTAGCAGTGAGCGTCACAGGCTTTCACTTCCTGAAGCAGCTGGATGTTGGTGATGCTGCTCTCTAGGGATCTTAAATCACTTATTGATTTCTGTCAAAGAAAGAATGGACAGACAGCAGTTTTTTCCTCCCTCCACGGCTCATTTTGTGATTTTTATTTTTTTACTCTTCCAAGCCATTGGAATGATCAAGGTCAGATTTATTGTGGTGGAAAAAAAAGAGTTGTTTACTCTGCCTTCTGCTGAAAATAAAAACAAGTACAGGCAGACGTTTTGCTTTCGTGTGTATCTCTTGTGTGTGAGTGTGTAAGGGCAGCCATGGAGTTGCTTATCCAGAAGGGTCAAAGACATAACAAGTTGTAATCTCCTTGTGGACAACCTTCTCACCTAACAACACAGCGACATCTAACAAAGACCCCAGCCTGCGCCCTCAGCTGTCGCCTTCCCTCTTGGCTTCCAACAGCAGACCCAAGACAACCGATTCATGGCCGCTCTGCCTATATCGACTTGTTAGATGAATTCAAACTTCACATGTCAATTAAATGAGGGTTGCTCTGATGATTAGCAGATCCCACTAATTGACGCTGTCTCCCTCCTCCTCTTTCCTCCTTTTTTTTTTGTTGCCTCCTTCCCCTCCTCCTTCTCTCTCTCCATGCCATTTTCCACATGGAGGAGCAGGGGAAAGGGGCTTTGTGTCATCGGGCCCCATGCCCCATGTCAAAAAATGGCTCCTCAGCCTCTTGGCTCCTCCTCTGAGACTCCCCAAGATTGCCTTTCTTGTCCCCAGGATGCAAGAAAAGATGTACATTAGTGGTAGGCTATATTTGTTCAGTGGTCACATATAGTTGACACAAGCGTGAAAAAAAGGATACATAGGGTTGAGGGTATACATTTCATCCTGTTTAGCCCCAAAGCACCAGGATGCTGGCTAAGATGCAAAGAAACAACCGGCGCAACCCATGTGCACCTCACAGACATGAGTGCGGAAGCCCACTCTCAGTGGCACACACACTTCCACACGTGCATCCCGGCAGATAATTACCCCAACAGCCTCTGGTGAGCAGAACGCCCATGTGGGCCCCATAACCGCTTAGACAAGGGCCATGGCACACCCAAGACCCTCCTTCTTTGTCTATCTCCCAGACCATGTGTTTGTTTTGCTTGACTCAATGAACTTGATCTGAGAATCTTCACAGCATTTTGTTCCACGCCTAACTCTCTGATGTGGAAAAATCAGCCTATGGAAATGAGATATTCAAAGCATGCCCTTCTTAGATTTATGCATTTATCTATGTATGCATTTTGTCTATATTTCTCTCAGGTGAAACTATCTTGTTTTACGGCTCTGAGAAAATGTATACCTTCAGAGAGCATGAATTCACACTTAGCTAGAGTAGGTGCAATAAAATATCTTAATGTTGTAAGTTAAGTAGAAGTATGCATCATCCAAAGAACAACATTTTCTTTAAAAAGCACACATTATTTAATAATATTTCCATACTTCACTGCTTTGGGTATGTTTCACTCCTACACCCAAAAAACTCTTAAAACCATGTTCAAGTAGTTGTTTGCTTCCAGCATGCTGTGCTTAAACTCTAGGAGTACAAAATCCTTGTGAAATTCTTGCATATTTAGTGAGTCATTCCTTTCATACCCAACGTAAGTGGTTACTGCAGGTGTTGGATGAATGCATTGAAGTAAAAAACTGGGCTAGTTCCCGTATGCACATCAATACACCCACGCACATATGCCCTGCTCTGATCACTTTGACAAGTGTGTCATGTTGGCGCTATCCGAGGACTTGACAATATTGGGCTTTTTGATGGCAAGCAAGGCAGAAAACTCTCCTCCAGTCTTAAGCAGCGCTCTAATCATCCCTCATCACAATTAAACACGGCAGACAGCAGCTCCAAACACGGGGTGACATCTAAAAACTCTGTGAATGGTTCCTTCCCCCCCATGCCTCCCCTTCCATCACCTAATGTTCAACACCAACCAAGCATCACATAGACCTACATTCACAGCTTCAACACAAAAAAGTGCAGCAGGCCAGTGCGGTCCAGACGGTTTCGTTTGCACTTTATCAGAGCTCACAAAAACAGCAACGCCTCATTGAGCCACAATTTGCAGCGAGTTTCCTACAAGAAGCAAAACAAAGAACGGGGCGGCTTGGTCTTCCTTTTTGTGCCAAAGCAGCGGACCAGAGAGAACACACACACACACACTCACTCACACACACACACACTCACACACATATATACACAAAGCCAAAGTAGAGAGAGTACAGACAGAGAGAGAAAAGTGAGAGCAGCAAGAAAACACGTCTGTCACATCCTTCAAAGCACAACATGAGTAAGCTGCTGCACACTTGTGAACAAAACTTTAATTTATTCTGAAAAAGGAAAATGATGTGTTAATGCTCAATAAACACACAACATATAATGTATCTACGGCAACTTCAACCTCTTACGTCAGTCTCACAATAGCTAGAGAACAATGGGTTGTCCTCATGACTGGGTCACGGACAAGGCAGCATTTAAAAACCGCTTGGGGATAAAATACTTCTGCTGGGACAATTGCCCCCCCCCCCTGCCCGTCTCTCTTCCTCGCTCGTTGTCTCCCTCGCTGTTCCCCTCTAGTTTTACTACCACGATAATTCCTGAGTGAGTGAGTAAGCGAGTGTGTTATGTGTGCGTGAGCCAGCCAAGGCTGAAGCCCTGTTTGTGCATTTGTGTAGTCATGCAAGGGCGCGTGTGAATGAGCGCTTTGCTCGTGTGTGCAGAGGCAGACAGAAGTCTTGCAAAGTGAGAGGAGGCTTTTTTACATTCAGGCCATCAGACAGACAAAATATACAGTTAGGAAGTTTGGTTTTGTCTCCCAATGCACACACAACACTGGTGAATTAAAGGAAACCCTGCAACCACTGTGATTATCTTCGAAATGAGGGTGAAGCAAATGACACAACAATGTCTTAAGGATAAAGGCGCTACATGAAACCAATCCAAATAAACAAAGACAAAGAGTTGCTTTACAATGCATACATAAGAACATATTCATTAGCATAAAAAATTAGATCAAAAGGCTTTTTCAAGTTCAGTATGCAGCCTTCTCCTTAAAGAATTCTTCATCAGACTTCAGACAAAAACACCCTGCCCCCTCCTCCCTGCTCCATCCCTTTATCAACAACATTACACTGCAATTTGTAACAGAGAAGAACAGCAACTCTCAAGGAGAAATGATGTCGCCATGACAAGTCTGATGAAGTTGAACTGCTCATTCAGTCACTCAACCTTTATTTATACTCGAAAGATAATTGAGGAGCAACCCTCATTTACATTGACATTAAGTCATTACAAAATCAATTAAAAGACAGACCACATTCATCAAAAATAAACTGAAGAAGACGCAAGAGATGTGCGGATTGACCTAATCTCAATATCTCAATATCACCCCAAAGCTTAAATAAAGAACCGAGGAGCTCACAGTGCGGGAGGGCTTGAAATAGTAGAAATACGAG